TCTTATTCTACTCCCAGCTCAGGAGACCGTGATACCTGACCCTTCTACCAAGGCTGCATCTCTTTAACCCATTTCTAGGGTGCCAAGGGCTGCCAGCACAAAGTGCTCCAAGCCAAACAAGCACCCCAGTTGCATTTCCAGCCAACAGGAATGCAGCCAAAATCTGGAACAACAGTTATTTGAGATCTCATATAAAAAACCCCAAACTATTCCCTTTGTATTAAGTTGTTCTAGCAGTAATTTAGTGCTCATGCTGAAGCAACTTCTCCTGTTGAGACTTTAAAGTTGTCCAATAGTAAAGCTAGCCAGCAATTTTTTTTAAATCAGTAAAAAAAAAATTCTTCAACAACACAAAAAAATCAAGTTAAAAAAATTATTTGACCTTGTTTGGCTGGGAGGCTTCTCTATAAAATTACATGTTTCATCACAGCCCATTTGTACCCATTTGCTTTTGGCTCTCTGTTCTGGGATCTATCAAAGGGCAGTTCCTCTGAGTGACCAGTCCTGGCAGAGTCAGCATGGGAAAAAAGCACACTAGTCCAAAGGCACAAAACCAAATCCCAATCCCACAAGATGCATGTATCAAGTTCACTGAAATAAAAGGAATTTTTTTGCATGTATGTAATAAGAGCAACTTTCACTGAGTTTATATGCTGTTTATAAATCATTCTCCATGTAACAGTCTGATATATATATAATACATAACCCATATAACCAGTATCCACAGGGTAACACTGATAAATCAGTACTGGTATAAGAATGTTAAAATACATTTTCTCTCCAAGAAGAGAAACATACATGATCCTAGCAAATTTACAGTCCTATCAATCATCAACTAACATTTTCTTGATGAACCAAATAGACGCAAACCACCTTAAACTGACCCTTCAACAACTACTTTACCAACAGAACTGCCATTTCACTTGCATGTAGCATCCAAAAAGCCCTTTAGTCCAGTTTTTAATGCAGCAGGCTTCTCAAGCAGGAGAAAAAAAAACAACACCTTGTTCTGGGAGTGAAGTTACTGAAGTGAATTTTTGTGTAAGTCATGCATGAGCCACGTGGCTTTGCAGATGGAGAGGAAAAAAAAAAACCAACAAAACCAGTCAGGAAACCCAGATTCTGCAGCACAGGAGCTCCTGAGTTATGTAAGTTGACAGAGCCACCAGCATTTACAGCTACTAAAAGCCTAACTACATTTTAACTGAATTTGCATGAAAAATATTCTCAATAACTGAGTTGTAAGCTTTCAAACCAGAGGTGCTGTCCCTCAGAGATTTAGAAATTGGACATTTCAGCTGTTTGAGCTCTTTCTATTCATGAGCTTCTGTGTGAAAAAAATAAATGGGGAGAAAACTTAATTTTCCTTTCAGCTGAGACACTCCAAACCCAGCTGTGGAAGCTAACCCAGATGTTCCAAAGTTATGTCTTGGTTTCTGTGCTAGCAGAAGTTTTCTGAATCCTGGCAGTTTGGAAGGAGAAGTAACAATACAGTCATGACATTAAACAGCATCCAATGCAATTCAGCAACCCAACCTAAATGTGTTTTTCTTCCTTCAAGCACGTAACTTCATTCCAGTGAAATAATTTTCTTCTACTTGAAGAATACTTCAAGTATTTTCCCTCCTCTTGTCATTCCCAGGAGTAAAACATAAAATTTAACCTCAGATCCCCAGCTGAATGAACACTCAGTGTCATCATGCCTGCCTGATCTGCCCGGTTGTATCAATCATACAGAGCCTGGGATGGACAATTTGCACTTTTACAAACATTACCACCACTTTTTAAAATTAATATATAGGAGATTTTTTTTATGATCAGTAATGAATCATACCCAACCAGAGTTCATTTCTAGTTGGGAGGTAAGATTTTTAAATTCTCACCATCATTTCTAGTTTGGAAAATACTTCTACAAGTTGTGATGGGCAAAGTTAATATTAGGAGGGATCTCCAGGATCTGCACAGTCAAAAAGGGATTAAAAATTACTGTATTGTTTCACTTCTGCTTCCAGACCAAGGACCATCACATAAACATTTCTACCAAAAGGATGGTCTGGCTTCTCAGACTTTTAGCACCAAAAGCCCAGGTTGTGTTTCCACACAGGGTCTTCACAAATGGATCTGGCCCTGAGAAATTCCATGCAAGCCCCTGGAAAGGAAACCCTTCCATCCAACACACACAGGCTCAGAAAAGCCTGTCAGCATTTTCTACACAAGGTTCTAATACAAACTGTAAAAACAGTAGCAAAAGTTTCATGTCGAGGATTCAAGCAGATGTAATTGTGACATGTCTTAGAAATTTGAAACTTAGAAAAAAATCAAGCTGACAGCTTCCTTCAGTCTATCCAGAAATAGTCATCTTTGCCTTCCAAAGGAACTTGGCAACTCTTCAGGTAAAAAAACTACATGCACTAAAGAAGAATTATGCAAAGCTTTTTTTGTTTGTATCTAATGAAAGTTTCCAGCATCTTTCTACAGAAAGTTACTGTATTTCAACACACAAAAAAAAGGAAGGTGTTTTGTTTTTTAATGTTAGAGGTTTCAAACAGCAACATGGATTGATAAATAAAGAAGAAAAAAGCAAAGGTCTAAACCCAGTGGTTCCATAAGGAGGCAGCTTTATTTGAGCAACCATAACACTATCATTTATTTCTTTTGCAAGAAGATTGCTCCAGGGCAGGTTGTTAACTTGTTACTTATTTGTTAACATGTTAATTAACTGGTGAGACCCTGGCCCAGGTTGCCCAGGGAGGCTGAGGCTGCCCCATCCCTGGCAGTGTTGAAGGGCAGGTTGGATGGGGCTTGGAGCAACCTGGGCTGGTGGGAGGTGTCCCTGCCCATGCAGGGGTTGGAACTGGATGATCTTTAAGCTCCCTTCCAACCCAAACCAGTCTGGGATTCTATGAACTACCACGTAGCCAAGAACACCCACAGAGGACTGACAGACACATGCTGCTGCACACACTGGGAAGTGCTGCACACTGACACTTCCCCACAGGATCACTGAGGCTGGTACCTGCAGAGGTCTCCCCATTCTGCTCGTCTCTCAGGCTCTGCTGGCTGAGTTCTGTTACCAAGTGAACCCCTTGCTTCTTCCCTTCTTCATCTCCAGACTCCTCCGACTCAATCCTCTTATCAACTGTGTGAGACACAACAGCAGAATGAGGGTATTTTCAGGAGTGGGGTGGGGGGCAGAAGTAGCAAGCAGATAAAATAACCAGAATTCACATACACCACTATGCAGTTAGTAGAAATCCTAAGTTAACTAAATGAAAGGTTTAGTCTTAAATAAAAGGCCTCTTACCCCTTGTTTCTACTTTGATTTTGGATGCACTTTTTCCTCCCATCACATCTTCCTAAAACCAACAATCTGGGAAGAAGACTGGAGGAAAAAGGAAATTTCTTAGATCAATGATGTGCAATTCCAAAGATTACGGAGATGGAATTATAACTATTACATCTGGAAAGCTTTTAGAAACAACAACATAAAAAAAAAATAATCAGTATCATGTATCCTAGTACCCATGACACGAATATGTGATGGCATTTAAAAAAAATAAGATAAATTTTAAAAATAATCCCTGTAGGTAAAAGCAACGTCTCCCCAGCACTACCTGAGAGATCCCTTCGGGATTTCCTCAGGGATAACTCTGGGGGCCTGAAGCTCCTCAGCCCCACCTCAGTATGAGCTCTCGGGGCAGTATTTATTCACGGGGCGACTGAGGAAAAAAAAAGCAACACCCCACCAGGGCAGCTTTTTGCTCTTTTTCCCCCTCGTTTTCTCTATACTTCACGTCACGCTCATCTCCACAAACCCGCATCTCCCCGCTCCGCGCGCGGAGCCCCGGGCCGAGGGGGCAGCC